CTTTTTGGCTGCGCTTACTACTCCACCTAGTCCACAACCCATCCCCATTTTTCGTTTACCACGCATAGCTGTCACCGTTGTCCAAGCAGCTAACTTTTCTTTAAGCCCCGTATCTTTCGACTTGAAAATCGCCCACGCCTTTTCCTGTAATATTCTGTCGGCCTCGTGACGATCACTGAACACGTCACTTTTATCGTAAGCAATATCGTGTTCTCTACAAGCGTTATCCAATCGATTGATACCCCGTTGACCGGCGGCCAGCCTTTGACGTAGACGAGTCCCGGGTCCACAAAACTGATAACCAGGATAATGCAACTCTACCGGTAATCTATTTATAATAGAGTTTAAAAGACCCGAACCTTTGTTGCTCTTTAGCTTTCGAGACGAAGACATCATATGTTCATTTCTTTCAATCGACAGTCATATTTATACCATGCGATTTGTTGAACAAGATCATAAACTCCCTATTGTCAATGCAGATACAATAGACGTCAATAGTGTGGTATCAAAACACGGTCCTCTTCTATCAAACACTATTCGCGCCCTAATAGCTGGGCCATCGTCCTGTGGTAAAACCCAATTGATCTTTACACTGTTGACTGCAGACAATGGATTAAAATTCGAAAACGTATACATTTATTCCAAGACTTTGGGTCAGGAAAAATATAAATTACTCGAGCAAATTATTCGTCAAGTCGATGGTGTAAACTTGTACACGTTTTATGAAAATGAAACAATAATGGTTCCGGAGAAAGCAAAGGAAAATAGTATTTTTATTTTTGATGACGTAATTTCTCAAAACCAACATATTATCCGTGAATACTTCTCACGTGGGAGACACAATAAAATAGATGTTTTCTATTTAGGTCAAAGTTATTCGAAAATTCCAAAGCTTTTAATTCGTGATAATTCAAATCTAATTGTACTTTTCAAGCAGGATGAATTAAATTTAAAACATGCTTACGACGACCACTGTAGTTCAGATATGACTTTTTCCGAGTTTAAAGACTTTTGTAGAGCATGTTGGAATCGAGATAAATATGGATTTGCAGTGATATGTAAGGATTTTATTAGAGATCAAGGAAGATATCGAAGCAAATTTGATACATTTGCTTTAATATAAAAGACCATGCTCGCAATTTATAGTTATCATTTGCACTGCAGTTACCATGACGGAAAAAAACAAAAATTTGTTATCAGCGTTAACGCAGGCCAAGGAAAGTATTAAGAGAAAGTATATAGCTCTGAAACAAGGTGAAGCAGATACAGAATCGTTAGTTACACAGAGTTTTAAACCAATTATTGATCCACTGACGAAAATAGCAAATAAAAACACGAACAATGGTGGTGATGACTACCAAAGTTTTGAAAATCGCGATCAGGTGTTTGATGACCCTGTATTTCAGTCACAACAAGCATCGAAAGAAGTATCAACCGCCATAACGTCGAAAAAAACGGATCATACTGTGAGCGTTGGTATGATATTAGATAACTGGTTAATTTCACCACAAAGAGATAAAATATATGGACCCAAACCGGTTGATAATAAAGGTAAAATAAATTTCGGTCATTCTGAAATGGAATTCGATAGAAATTCATTACAAATTTCACTTGATGGTAGACCATATCCCATGACCGTGGGAATACTACAATTATTGTTTTCTAAAAACCCAAATAAGTATACAAAAATCGATACGAGAAATTATAAAAAAATGCTAGAACAATCATCAGCTCACTTAACTGTAGATGGTAGTCGGCTTAAAAGAACCGGTTCCAAGTATAATAAGATCATTTCAAAGATATTCCCCTCAGGCAGTGGTCTTTCCATGTCGCTGAATAATAAGAAAACAAATTACGTATATTGGAATCAGCCTGAAGAATTAATTACCAGATTACGTTTATTACATGCAGCGAGAACTGCAGGCAACTCAGGGGTCAATAATGAAATAGTTTCTATTTATGAAGAACTTTATGAGCAGGGTATTATAAAAACGATTCCACACGATGATACCGATAACTACTACTAAAGAAAGTATTGCTTCAGAACTGCATCGACCAGCTCGTAAAAATTTCACTAGGCGGAGAGTTATTTTGAAGGGGAAAGGTGATCTTTTGCAAGCCGATATTGTTGAAATGACCAGTCATTCAGTGAAAAATCGGAAATTCAAATATATTCTTACCGTCATTGACTGTTTTACGAAAAAAGCTTGGTGTTTTCCTCTGAAGACAAAAACTGGAGTCGAAGTCACTGCAGCCATGGAGAAAGTACTCATCCCCCACCCAACAACTCACCTTATGACTGATTCCGGGAAAGAGTTCTATAATAAGCATTTCATGGCTTTGATGAAAAAATACAATGTTAACTTATACTCGACATATTCCGCTCTCAAAGCTAGTATAATTGAGAGATTTAATCGCACAATTAAATCAAAAATGTACAAACAATTTACAGCTCAAGGTTCATATGAATGGGTTTCTATCTTGGATAGCCTCGTAGATACGTATAATAATACAAAACATAGCACTATTAGAATGACACCGAATCAGGCCGAGGCTAACCCGTCTTCGGTTGTAATACATGGTCGTAAGATACCTGAGCAGAAATTTCGCTTTAAAGTTGGCGACAGAGTAAGAATTTCTATGTACAAAACCATCTTTACTAAGGGTTATCTTCCTAGCTGGAGTAGTGAAATTTTCAAAGTAGTAAAAGCTAATCCTACATCTCCTCCTACTTACTACATAGAAGACTATACCGGTAAACCCATAGCAGGTAGTTTCTACAATGAAGAATTAAGCAAAACTCTATATCCTGATGACTATCTGGTGGAAAAGGTCTTACAAAAAAAAGGATCAAAAGTTCTAGTAAAATGGTTAGGATTTGATTCAACACATAACTCATGGATAGATAAAAACGATCTCAAACTATGATGAATTAATTATTCATAATGAAAAATAATTTCAATGATGAAATTAATCGATATTGTTAAAAATCGCATTATATAAAATATATTAAATAATGTATTAGTACATAATGTTCTCACTAGTTGAAAGTCTGTCGACTATATTTCCAAACAGTCATCATTTAGACCAATATGATGCAGTATCGCTCTCACGGTGGACTGACGATGTCTACATCCTATTCCAACGACTCCGGACCCAATTAAATATTAAATATATATGAATGTTTGAACATCGTTTGGATCGATACGAATTGGAGTCAGTACATCGCATGTCGCAGACGCAACCAGATGAACTAGAATGGGTAATTACCAATCGTTGATCTATTTTTACCGGGACGTTCAACCGCATTTGTGCAAAGCGTGTAAGTTTGAAGATGCTGAATGTTTTGTCAGTAAGTCCACATTGCCGTGTTACGGTTTGTATTTGACCGACCTGGATGATGATGTTGAACCGGACAGTCAATCGATGTTCGAAGTGATAAAATATAAGAGACAAGTATGCACAGCTTTGAACGCGCCGTCGAGAAAATCGTATCTGTCACTCGTGCCATGGCGTCCATGTCAGTTGCCGAGCCACATGCTGGGCAAAATTGTATATTCTAAAAAAATAGTCGGGTACGTGTCAATGAAAGCTACCGATTTTAACGATATTTTACATAAAGTTAAAATGACAAAGGATATTTTCTTGTCAACGTGTGAAAATTCATACGGTGTAAATTTTAAACCACTGAAAGAATATTCACCGTTTGCCCGGCTGTTCACTGCGTACGATGATGACGACTGGAATATCTTTTTCGTGGACAATACCGGACCGATGTCGTGGAAAAGAAGATATAATACAAACGGACGGGAATATATTTTGGATGCTCTTACATAGTCAAGATGGTAATCATCGATGAGTTAGGATAATTTTAATATTAACACAGTGTATTAGTATAAAATAGTGATTAGTATATCGACAACCATGGACGTGTTTGGTGGTTCATTAGAAGGCAAAAAGAATAAATCAATCGGAAATCTCCAAGTTGGATTGCAGATGCTTCAAAATGAGGTAGACGTACACAATATTCTTTTCCGTACTCATCGAGCGGATATAACAAAATGTAGTGATACAATTACTGATATTCGAACTGCCGTACAAAAAATCGAATCTTACATTCAACTAATGGCAGCAAATATAAAATTTGATTCACCTATTTTAGTATATGATCAATACAGACTACAAACTGAAATAACTATTAGCGTTGAGGACAGGTCAGACGATTTAGTAGATAAGATTCAGGAATAAGAAGAGTTAGTAATATATTGTATTTAATCATGAAAAGTCGTGTTCTGTGTTGCTTGCTTATATAATATAACAACATAATTTATAATACAAGAATGGGTCGCTTGATACTTGATATGCAGTGTGTACTAGGATCTGATGGAAAATATCTAATAAAGGAATTATCGGCTATCGATACCGAGAGCTGTGCAGTCCAACACTGGATATTCAAATACTCAACAACCATGTTTCAAAATGCCAAGTCTCGTTCTATTAATAATTGGTTAGAGCGTCATTTCCATAAAATGAGTCTCACATACGGTGATGTAGAATGCGAGGAAATTGGAAGAATATTAAATTCATTACAAGCTCGAAACATTTACGTGAAGGGGGAACAAAAGAAACAACTTCTTTTGGAATATTTACCTGGTATAACTATTATAAATATGGAATTAATGGGCTGTCCAAGAATAGATGAACTCTATCCTAATGAAGAATTCGCTTGTTGTCTCTTTCATAAAGAACTGAATCCCAAGCTATGTACATTTTACAAAGTTTTTACTTTGAGAAAATGGTTTTTGGAAAATGTGTAAATAATATACTTTTTTAGTTTTTGTAAAAGATAATATTAAAATATTTATATATATATATATATTGTAGAAAAATAATTGTTTACATTGTAATATATATTATATGATGTATACTTATATAATAAGAAATCTTTTTTATATGTATAAATAATAAATCGAATATTTTTTTTCTTTTAAAAAATTGTTGTTGCATTCTTATAATCCGCCTGCCTCTTGAAGTTCTCTAGAATAATAATAATAATATGAATGAACATTTTTTTTAACTATCATTATTATATATTTTATTTACTTGATTTTATAATGACCAATCGCTAAAGTGTGAATTCTGTCATGAAGTATGATCCTCTTATCATCATTTCGGTTTAGTGCTAATTTCATTGTTTTGATGGTACAAATTTGATGTTTGAATGATCGTATAGATATATTCTCTCTGTATGGAGTATAATCGTAGCGATAGGATGTACTACCCGCTGTATTTAAGTCATGGTGAGCATACTCTACGGTCTTAAGAGCACAATTATGAGCAATCATTTTGGCTTCTGCTTTATTTAAACCGTAAATGTCCAAATCATCATCACTGTCATCATCGAAAAGACATCTTTTAAAGTCGTCAAGAACCATGTGTTTTTGAGTTACATAAGTTCTTATACCTACAAAAGAAAATAATTGTTTTCCATATAACCGGTATTTTATACATAGATATTATACTAATACAACAAGGTCAGAAAATAAAGAAAGTGGTCCTCAAACAGTATACGCACGTGTATACCATAGGTTATGTAACGCATGAAAGTTTTTAATTTTTAATGAGATATTATAAAAAAATGTTGTGAATCTTAACAGCTTTAGTAAACCAAAGCAATCAGCATAGGAATTATTTCGATTAAATCATATATTATTAGAAATCGTTTATATTATATTATTATATTTAAACACTATCATATACTTATCTACCTGTTTTGAAAAACTGACGCCTTAACCCACTAAGCCATTAAGATTCACAAATTGTATAATGTATTTTATACCATTTAAATAGTAAACTTTTTATTTTATTTTTAATAATTTATAATACCTTTAGCTTTTATTTTTTCTTCTGTATTCCATTCTGTTTCCAGAGACTTATAAATGTTTTCTTTGCTGAACCCGTACAATTTTGATCGCAATGCAATTATCTCATGCATCGTAAGACCGGCTAATTCATCAGTGAATGTCCCCGGAACTTTTTTGCGTTCTACTGAGTAACATGGATGATCAGGTGGTAAATTTGACGTATCCATCCGATTTAAAAGTTCTGGTTTTTTTCTGACATCTTCATAAAAGTCTTTGGTCTTTATTAAATATATAAGTGAGTCTAAGGGGAACAATTTATCATTTTATTTATAACTAAATACAGCTATTCTTTATTATTATTCATATTTAAAAAAAAAAGGTACCTGTATCACCATAAATGAATTCAATAGCATCTTTAAAATGCTTGCGCATAACGTTGTAATGGTAATCGTACATCAAAACTTTGCTTAGTTCCAGCACCGCAAAACCTACGTATACTGGCTTACAAAAATTTATTATCTTATTCTCCAAAGAAATAGCTGCAAGGTTATCGTTGTATGTAGTGCAGTGCTTAAAGGTGGGTTTGTTTATTAATTTTTGAATTCTCCGAGGATTGGAAACAAGTTCAATCTTGACACGCTTTCGCATCGATTCCATCGTTTTACCTACAATATACACACAACGTTGGATGTATCGTAATATTAACTATATATATTTTTTTTAAATAAATTTATATATATTCAAACCAAATACAGCGTTGTTCATCAACTTGAAAAAGTTTTTTTCAAAATCATTTAATGCGCATTTTCGCTTTTGAGTGTTTAGATCAATATAGGAAGCAAGCCAAGGTGATTGGCGGAACTGTAAAACTCTATGTACCTGTATTATTCATAATATAGGGTTAATTATTTTAAATTATTTTTTTTTAAGTATAGAAAGTAGGTGTTTACCTTCTCAACCGTCAGACCATTCGCAATCGCTTGTTTTAAATTCATATAATGAATTACATAATTTTTTTTATTTTCCAGTGTAGCAAGTAGTTTTTTTGTTTTAGAATTTGGTGGACATTTGAGCTCGGGGAGGAATGGATATTCGTTATGATCATTGTGTAAGCTGGTCGGATAATTCACATCTACTTCAAAAAACATGCCCACTTCAGACTTTTCCGTCATCGAGTCCAAACCCTTCAGTGCTTCCTCCCCACTTCCGGCGTACCATTTAAAATCTGAACATGGCATGTATTGACTCATAGCATATCCATATAAATTTGTAGCATCTTGGTAAACCAGCCATGAAGTCGGATCGTTTGGATTATAACCGGGTGTTTTAGGGTTATTCGCTCGAGCCCATCGTGTGCAAGCTTGCACGAGACCTCCACGAATTCCATTTTCAATTAATAACTGCATCTCATAGTCACTCAATAAATCTAACTGTACCATGCTATGTTTTAACATGCTGTCAAAACTCAACCCAGGACTTGTAAAGTAGAACACGCTATCTAAATTATATGTACTCATACATAAGTCACGGAATCGTTCAAATACATCGGCAAGTGTCATTATATCCACTTTCATGTATATATCGCTGTAGACCCCCAAGGTATCACATTTAAAGTGATCCCATACTTGCACTGCATGTTTATAATCGTCTACACTAATATGATCGCCCGTGAGTGAGTTGAAGAACTCCTCACGAGCTGGCAAGCTGGTGACCTCAAGTTTAGACCAACCGTCGACGAAGGTATAAGGAAAAACGCCTTTTTTCGTTACCAATGACATGTCTTCGGGGCAAAATACTTTGGCCGTCTCCCGAAAATTTGAAAGTCCTGCTTTAGCGAGATCTGCGGTCAATGTAGACAGACTTGACGGCATGAAACGACACGAGTCCAAAAATCGGATTGAAAAATTATTTTTGATATATTTTGTAAATGCTATATATTTTTCCTCGCTGGTTGGTATAATATTGATTGGTTTATCATCATATCCTAGTTGAGTGACGATATAGTGCATATCATAGCAGCTGAGGTTATGAAAGAATACGGGTAAAAAATTCGGTGTGCGAAGCTTGAGATTGCATGTGTTGCAAAGTGTTTGTCTGAATTTTCCACATAAATGATCATGGTCAGCTACTTTTTGATTGGAATCCGTAAAACTACACCGACAGATCTCACAACTTATGGCAGCTGCATGCCTCTGAGCTTCTTCATCAGTAAATCTAATAGCTGTATTCGTCTGAAGTAGCGCGCTTATATTTGTCGCTACTTCAACGAGTGCTTCCACAAAGCGTTTCGCTACTTCTGCGGAATCTATCGTCTGCGATCCACGAAAACATATGGGTGTTAGAGGAATATTGTATCGTTTTAAAAGCTCTATAGGAATATTATCTGCAGCTTTTACATAAAACCCATATGACATTAACTTATGTTCATCGATAATTTTAGTGTTTCCGCCTTTGCTGCCTGAATTATTGGGTTTGATTAATAGAGCTTCAAAATCTGCGTACACGACAAACGGATGTCGAACTGTTTTGCCCCAAGCTTCGAATTTCAAAGTCGAACCTGCTTCGGGCATTACCGGCAAAATGGTTTTATGTTTGTTACATATCTGTCTGTGTTGATCGAGCGCCTCCTGACCTGATAATTTATGGAGTTTCGGACGAGTATCGAATCCTGTGAAACATTTTTTACAAAAAACCATTTTGCTATGGTTTTTCGTTTTTTGGCTATGTATCAACCTCGCGAAATTTGAAATATAGGTGAAGTGACTTAAGCCCGTAGTTTCATCCTCTATGACCAATAAATCAAAATGATCAATTTTTTCCGAATTCGATACACGTAGCGGATAAACATAATGAGCCGGTTTGAATTTAGTATGGCCCGGTTGTTTTTCCAAACCATATACATTTATAGATACCGCAGGATTATCGATCTCGAAGATTTTAATATTTTTAAGAGGTGTTGGATATATAATCCTATTAAAATTATACATTTTCTCTAATTTTTTATAATTTTCCCCAACGTGATTTTTATTTCCCGATGACACGTGCTTAGCTAAAATGGCCCATTTAAAACATTCATTGTCCTTCAAGTTCATAGGATTAATGACCGCCTTTTTTCTTATAATATCTTCGGGTAGATATATATGGGATGATGCCCGTAACGGTGTAAATACATACACTCCCAGAAGTATTCCATCAATTGTTTGAAGGGAATAACCAGAGCCCTTGGCAACATACTCATCTTCTTCTTCGAGGAGCTTTGTAAAGTCATCAAGAACTGCAGCATTCAAATCACTCGCCGAATAAAGCTCTCTAGCAGACGTTTTAAAAGCCCGATTTTCTGTTGTGTTTTCCTGCTGCGGTATACTATAAGTTGCTTCTAGTTTTAAATTGTATTTAATTGGATGAATTGACGCCATTGAACTTAAAAGACTAGATATTTGTGGTTTGCAGTTGTTTAAAAATTCATTATAATCTAATGTATTGTTTATATTTTTTTTATAAAACCATTTAATTTTCCCCTTGAACGATGACTCGATATGAATAAAATTATCCTGACCCGCGGTCGCCGCCATAGACATACGAGCGGTTTTTTTACGTTTATTACACATCGTATTCTCATTATAATAGCCGGGTTCAATCGTAGTATTATTCAACAATTCCCCATCAGCCGTTTTTATTTTTTTAACCGACTGTGTTGTTGGTAGTGGGTCAGACGTACAATCTACACCTGTTAAATATTTACTTATTTATATATATTTATATATATATATTGTTAAAAACAAGTCTTACCGTTACGAGGGTCAACAGTTTCACTTGGTGTCGTAAAAAGGGTGTCATTAGCCTGCGCGTTTGACGGAATATATGTTATTAAATTCGATTGTTCTTGTTGTTGCTGTCGCTGATTAAAATCTACGATAAAAATACGAAATTACGAATAGAATATTATGTTTTTTATTTTTTTTTTTATTTCTACTCACTGTTAAACACTTGTCCTATACCGTCAATAGCGTCATTAAAATCAACCCCATTTTTAGCAAGATCTATAATAGTATAAATTGTTTTTATGTCCATCGATTTTAATGCTTATTTTTAATAACTACTGTTTAAATAAATGTAATATATTTAATGCTTTACTTACGATGTACGGTTCTCACATGACGCAACAAATTTGATTTTTGACTAAAAACTCTATTGCAAGCGTGACAAGGAAATTGAACGTCAGTGTGTTTTATGCCATGTCTGTTTAAATTAGATTTGTTTGCAAACGATTTACCACATTGTATACACGTAAACATGATGACTTTTAGATAGTACAATTAATATAAATTAAAATAACACGGTTGTACAAAAATAATAAAAGTTTTTTTAAAAATATTAAAAACAGCTATGAACGTAAAAGCGTAACATCGACTGACACACGACTAAACCATATTCTTGAATAAAACATTAGTGCGGGGCACTAGTTTTCTTTTCTTTATTTTAGAAAGTTGTTTCTTTTACATATTTTTTTAAAAGTAGGAGGAGAGAATATAGAAGGATAGTTGTTAGAATAATTTCTTAATAAATAAATGGGGTTATCTCTCAATGTAATAAAAATAAATGTTTTATTTTTTTTCATACAATAATTTCTATACAATAAATAGCTATTTACTTATTTAAATACATAATATTTCCCATTGTCTGTAATGTTATCACATACATTATTTATGTTTGTGAAAATACATAAATCACACTTGCAACAGTCATCTACATCTTGCATGGTTTTAGGTGATGAATTAGTTTTAATTTCAAAATCTGCAAGTTGTTCAATCACGTTTTCATCTTCACGCTTAGGAGCCTGTTAATAATAATAATAATAACACTTATAATGATTGTTTAGTTAAAGTATTATATAATAATGTAAAATCTATAATAACCTCTATTTCAGAATGTTTAAGTTCAACCCAAGCGTCAGCAACAGATTTCGCTGCGATTGATATAAGTTGGTTGATATAGTCAGGTTTATCGTTTGAGATTAAGCTAGAAATCGTTTCTTGACTCATTTTTTGTATGTAGCATACCATTTCATCGCTGTGGAAACTGTTTTTTTCTTTCCACTGAGAGTCTAAATATTTTACAAATATTTCGAGTTGTTCTAACACGATAAGACGGGTTACATACGATTTGTGGTAATATACTGCATTAACAACGTGTTGAAGTTCTTGAATTTTCAATAATTCCTCACGACAAAGTAAAATTTTGGAGTATGTATCACTTCTAGCCTGTACAACTAATAAATGCTGCCCACGTGAAACTAATTTTGAAATTATGAAGGATTCATCTGTTAACAGTTTTTTCATAACATTTTTTTGAAACTTTTTTTCGTAGTTTTCTAAAGCGGTTTGCTCAATCGACAAATTGGTCAATATTGTACTCATAGCAGATATTAATCTGCTAAATAAGATTATACCGACTGTCACATAACTTGTAGAAGTCAAAATATGTATTTTAACATTAAATGTCTCCTTCGGGTCTAAGCCGATTTGAATATATTTTCTACTACTATAGTCAATTGTAAACACCGTACAGTCTATTAACTCATGTGGCGGACGTAACGTACTATATTTTCTTTTTTTGTAAGTTAATTCATTTTTTTTTATTAAACCGGTCATTTTAAAATACTGAAATGTTGAACCGAAATAACACACAACGAACAGCACAGCACTCTATTAGACACTAAATATCATGAGCTACGGAATTTCCACTTAACCGTATCGAACAAGTTTTTTAGTACCCCACCATATGTAAATTATTAGAAAATAAAAAACATTCTTGTCGAGAAAGTTTGTTTAACCGATGCATATGTATTTTTATTTTTTATAATAACACAAGATTTAGCCTTGACCTCTCCTGTACCTAAAGATTTTAGTAAAAGAGTGGGGGATATATAACTTTTCTTTTAGAACATCATACTACAGTTAGTTGAAACGGTTTAATACGTTTTTCAAGTTCTACAAGAACAGACGACTTTATTTATTTACTCCGTACATAACAAAAAATAAGGTAATAATATATCTTCTTATAAAATATAAAAATATTTATATTACATATATATATATATAATATACATATATATTTGTTTTTAGCATGGCTAGTTTCGCCAATTTACTCAAGTCAAAAGTTGAAGAGTCCGAAAAAACATATGCCAAATCAATCAGTATAGGCGAGCTGGAAGTGAACGCCAAATATCAGATAGAAAATGTCAAATTAATCGCCAGTAAATTCGGACCTAACTTCACGGTAGTACGCATGACGATAAAAAAAGATGGTCTAACATATGGAGTTTTTCTACCACAATCGTTCAAACTCACGGAACAGGAATGCGCCGAGTTTGAAAACAAAACAGGTCCGGTGTTTTTAATTTTTAGAGGCCGTAGACAGAATAAGTCATTCATTATAGACTTTGAGACATAATTTTTTTTTAACAGTGTGAAAACAAAATATCTAAAAAAATAATAAAACGTTTATACTATCTTATTTTTTGTGCTAATATTTGAAAATAAATACTTATAAAAACTATAAATTAATATGATTCTTGGAATCTTATGTTTTTTATGTTGATAACTTATTACTGTTAATACAATAATAATAATATTATAATGTTGAACCATAATATAAAATAAGTGTATTGAAATATTTTTAAACCTGTAAAACAAATGTATGTTTCTTTCTCATATTCATTTATTTGTAATAGTTTACGAGTTTTTGACAATAATATATTATTTTCTTTTTCTAAATGAGTGATTATGTTTTGTTTGTAATAATTTAAAAGAAAACTGGTTTACCTCACAGCGTATCAATAACATTATATTATCCAAGTTGTTATTTAGTCTCTGAGTTTTTACGACCGTTAAGTGGTGTGATTTTTATCACACACACACACACACATACACATATACACAGACACGCATGAATGCATACATGCTGTGTTTTCAAGTTACGTATGGTTTAAACACATATATGGTAATTAATATTAGGCTATGAGTAAAAACAAAATGTTACAGTATTTTTTCTTTGTACAGAATATATTTAAGAAAAATATAATACATAAACAGAAATACTATCAATTATAATAATAATAATATAATAAACAATAACAATAATAATAATGCTGTTAACAATAATATGGTATATTTACATTTGTATATATAAAGAAAATCTACACCGGGGTGCATGACATTGAAATCTAGACACCTAATATTGGATATGATTCAGAAATTGGAATAAAATAATTAAAATAAGCCCTGACTATTTCCGATTTTAGGATCAAGTCAGGGTTTGCGGCACGTATCAAATTAATATCTGTTAAGTTTACCCAGACCTCCAGTCTGGCTCCGCAAACTTCACATTTTTTAAAGTTTGTTAAGTCCAATATTAAGTGTCCTGGTTGGAAAGTTTGTTTCCATGTGACAACCCTTTCAAGATCCCCCTCCGAAGTGATAGCTCCATAACTGCAAATAGAAGCGTTTATGTCGCAAACATAGTACTTTCTTCTCGTGGTCCTCCCTTCTAAATTTATACTGCGAACAGTCCCACATTTGTAATTACTTAAGATAAAATTGGTGCCCCACATCTCCAAACATAATAATATTTCCCGAATTGAGAAACACCAAAAATTTGCCCGAACCATTCCCCCAAAAGATATTGGTGTTCTCGGAAGATTTAATAGGGATTCTACCGATTTATATTGGAAGTATCTATAGTATAATTTTGGGTGCTCACAAGCGATTTCCCTGAAGTTATCAACGTTGTACGCCCCGGCATAAATTCTCTCCATATTTCTGTAGCTGTTAGCCAAACCTGGGAATGACATTCGCCAACGTAGATCGCCCATTGCACTACTATCCTCTAAAGACCATTCGTCCAAGTAAGTTTCCTCTTCTCTCGAACATGGAAGTATGTTGGACGGGTGGATCGGTGTATAATCAGCGGTGTATTCACCAAATACGCGGGTTTCCACTATATTTAAAAACAGATATAATTAAATAACTAATATTAATCAGAAAATAGCGATAAAGTTTTATAAGTTTCATTGAAAAAAAATAAAATTACGTACGTTCTGATTCGCTTTCATCTTGAGAATCTAACGCTGAAGACGAACTATCAGTAGATTCTTGTTCTTGTGCTTCTTCTTCTTCTTCTTCATCTTCACTATCGTCAAATATATCACGCATATACCCCTCATTATCCATGACTCCTTCCGGCTCGCCAAATTGTTCAATAAATGTCTCCCGATCAGTTTGTTCGACTTCGATGTCCAATAACTCGTACTCGCCTGCAGTAGTTTTGTTAATAAAATAATTTGGCTGCATCTTTGAATTTGTAGATTTGAACTGCTAACAGAATTCAATAAACTTGATATAAATAAACTTGTGGGGGTGAAAGAATAGAAGGTGTTAAACACTTACTTTTTTAAAAGTATTATTGTCGTTGACTTGCCGGGGTACGTCAGTTAAAGAGGTCTTGAGGGGTACTGTCGCGTTATACGTGCATTGATCGTTCGTTTGAAAATCCATAAAAACCATAATATGTTCTAGGGTGTGGGTAGTTTTAAGAACTGGTTAATAATACTTGTTTTATATACACTTATAGCCATATACAAGAATAATACAGTAAACACGGTAAGAGGGTTCGTTAACCTAACACGTATGTGATAGGGTTATAGATGTTAATTTAAATACTATACACTAAAAAAAAAAAAAAAAAATATATATATATATATATGATCTTTTCCACAAGATATTATAGAATAATTTACAATTGTATATATAGGTAAACAGGACCACTTTCCACAAGATTACAACAACATTCAGGATCATTCATTATTATACAGTCGTTTACACGACGGGTGTAGGGTATCTATATAATACCTATGTACCTATTACCCCTATGGGTAATAACTGTATTATATTACTTTACCTGACAATCGGAGTAGAACGGGGATTTGTTTTTTTTCCTATATGTTTGGTGTAGATGCTCTGTCGGTCGCCGGGTAACGTTATATTATATTATAATATTAACGTTATTATATTATATTATTCTTAACTTTTTTTCGTATGTGGATGATCTTTATCGGAGCTCGACTTTCCATCAAACGATATGACAATTTGCATTACTATTTCACCATCACCATCGCCGTCAATTACAGCAAGTTGACGGGGATGCATTATATAGATCACATATTTTTAAAAAATAAAACTATTATGTGAGACCGGTAAAACTTTCACTCGACATAGAGTTTCGATTACTTTTACTTTTTCACGAGACCAATAGCGGCTGGGGGAACCACTGAGGACTAGCTATAGGACCGGGGGGAGGAGACGAGTGATAGTGAGGACTACGGAGGACTAGATATAGACCGGGAGAGGTAGAGGGGAAGTGAAAGTGAGGACTTTAATGTATTTTCAACGAACCATTATACTCTA